CTTGAATATTGTATTCTAAATTCAGGGAATATGATTCCCAGTTGGGAGAAGGTAGGAAATTTTTGAAATTCGCCCCACCCATTCCGCAACCTTCATGGCGTCCATTAGATGGATCCTACCATTCTTTCAGCAGTATGGGGAACCCATGGCCATCTGGAGTAGGGAGAATTTTCAGAAATTGGAAACGAACATTTTGTGCCTAAACTATGGCATCATTATTGGTCTCCAGTTGGATAAATCATGGCTTTGGCAATTGGCAGAACAACTGAGAACAAATTATAGATGGTTTCCTAGATCAGAAAACCCTATCACTGATGGTCTAGCTAAACAAGGATTAAATCAGAGGGAATTGTTTTGGGGAGTGATCGATCAAGGGTGAACACAGTTCATGTATAGTGAGTATAAGAAGGCTAGCTAAGACGAGTCACTATAGTGGATGTAAAGAAAACCATGCTGTAAATATTACTCAACTATTAACAAAAGTGATTGTTGCTGATCAAAAAAGAAAGAAAACTAGGGGGCGGGAGGGGGCCTTGTTATGTTAATATGAAATGGAGATACAAAGACAATGGACATTTGTTTGTATATAAATCATAGAATAGAATAAAACAAACAAGATGGAGCCTATGTTAATTTGAATATAACAAATATAAATAGGAAAAGGGAAAGTGTGTATGTGCAAATGATAACATGATAGACATTAATGATTAAAAGAGATAAATTAAAGAAAATTTAAGGGTAGATCTCCCTTTCTGCCAAAAATGGAAACACACTCCATAGAAAGCATATCACACTTCCATTGTCATCTTGATGATACCTTTCGTCTTGTTGCCCTAAACCTATTTCATTACTCTTTGAATTGAAAACTTTCTATGATGCTATTCTACCCCCTTTCACATTCATCTGCACAAGAGATAAGGTATAGTTGTGCTATACCAAAACTTGCTTCATACCCCATAAAGGGCAGGGCAATGCACAAGGCTCTAACCAATGTGGGGTGTGGCGAGGGACAGATATACACAGCCTTACCCCTGCACATACAGAGGTTATTTCCAAGCTCTATACCCCATACAAAGTACCAATTGAAGCACAAGGTGATGCCTATGTGGTTACATTATATATAGCTTGAATCATGACAGAAAAAATCTCGCGAAAAAAAGAATCATGACAAATTATTTTTTAAATATACAAAAATTCTATTTATAAACAGAAGAAAAAAGAAAGAACAAAAATACATGAGCTTTCCAGCCCAAACCAAGAAATATAACCCAAATGGTAGATATACAAATATACAAAGCTTCCAACCAACAAACAACCCAAGAGCAAAGAGAAGAACCCAACCCAACTCCAAAACTAATCCTCAATGAAACAGCACTAGTTCTATCTCAAAAGGACCCCCAGGCATAGCACTTCACACTCTCCAGACCAAAACAAAAGAGCAGAAAACCTGAACCAAAATCAACAAAATGTGCATGTTCACTTGCCTCTCCTACTCCTATCCCTTCCTCCTATACTTTTAGTGGAACCCCTAGACATATTGGTGCCACAAACTTTAACTTGGGATTAGGGAATTAGGCAACAGGCCATTTTTCTTCCTGCCCCTCCCTCAAGCAACACCAAGCTGGCAGGGCCAACACAAATGTTAGAAATTGTATGCCCACAGCTCCTACAGGAGTCACTTAAACTAATATTTGTTATTGAATAAATTATTTTTATCAATAACAGTAAACAGAACCAATTTTATTAATTAAGAAGGGAAATAACGGGTACAAGAACAAAAAGGGGAGTGATATTGTTATTTAATAAATTCAGTTCATCATTATTTCATGTGTATATGGTATGTTTCTATGTAATACACCTTAAACAGATAAACTTGACATTTATGAGACTTATATTAGCTTAAAATATTCTCAGCTGATTGATTAAATTGGGGACTTTATAGTGCCAAGGCTGACACTCTTGTACTACCAAAATGGTGGAGCAATTTGTCACAACTGCTCGGGTTAAACCTAAGGTACAATGAGTGGGTGTTTGAGAAACACTGAACGGGATCATTTTCAGTTAAACCCTAGACCTTAGAGACAAAAGGTAAAACTAAAAAATTGCATTTAATCCCTTAACTTAATAATGATACTACACTAGGTGTTAGACTGATCTGCTTCTGATGTGCCAACCAATGAGATCCTCTTAGGTTCAAATACTTGGTTATGTTGGAGCAAATTGGAAAGATGTTTTAGTGAGTAACTCAAGGTTCAAAGTATCAATACGTATCGGGTCGTATCGTCCCGATACGTATCACACCAGGAGCTTCCCGATATGCCCCTACAAAGTGTGTATCAAGGTTTTGACCGGTTCAGGGGGTGGATGGACCTTAAACCGGCCCCTCTGAACCAGATTTGGAAAAACAAAACTAAAAAAAAATAAAAATAAAAAAAAAGCTATTGATACTGCCCGATACTCCTCTACCGGCGTATCGAGCGAATCAATATTTTGAACCTTGGAGTAATTATTGTGATAAGATCAGCCACTTCGTCAAATAAAGAGAAAATCCCGGTTACACTATCTGATGGAAACCTAAAAACTATCAATGGTGGATTTCAACTTGTCTTGAAATCAGTTTTGCAAAATGTATTTATATTTATAAATAGTTTATTTTGATAAAAAGTGTGCAAATAGGTTTAATCCCAGGATCCATTGAGTAGAGGGTGTAGCACTGTATTTGGCAGTTAGGAAAGAGGTCCAACCATATTGGTAGTGTTATGATATTATTCGCTAAGAGGTTTTATGCAAGTGTCTTCTTAGGCCTTAAAATACCTGGTGGACATTAACTCAGCCCAAATTAATAGTCTTGGGATCACAGGGTGGTTGAGCCCCAAGTTTAAATATAAAGTTTGATGGACCAATTATTGTACCCAACACATTTAGGTAAATTCACTTGTATAGACAAGCTGAATTCAGCCCATGTGTAGGTTATACTTAAGTATGGACTGCTCTTTATATTTAATTTCGACAGAGATCTTGTGAGTCCCATGCCACATGGGCACCTTTTCTCATTGATCCTAATCCCTAATAAGATTTAGAAGTAACCTAATGCTGGTCAAAATCTAATTAGAATGAGTTCTTATTAGAGTCATAACTAACTAGTTTGACTAGTCAAAAGTCCTAGTTGAATTAGAAACTCCAATTGGATTGGGACTTTCCTAATCAGATCAGGAGATGATTTCGGCAAGATTTGTTGGACTCTCAGGCTTATATAAACCCTTGTGTTGACCAAGCTTGCACTATCTTGCATACTATTCTATTGAGAGAGTCTGTGAGAAAACAATTCAGCACTAGTGTGAGAGAAAAACCCAAAATCACCATTAGGGTTTTGTCTCCCAAACTTGGACAACATTCAGACCTATTCTTGAGAAGATCAAGGCATCAATTCACCATCTTTCAGAGTTATTTCAAAGGCAATTCATTGCTGGTTCTTCAGGGATCAAGGAGCAATCTTGGAGGTGTGCCATCTTCATCTCCAACATTGTACCGATGAGACTGAGATAGGATGATCCAACTTGAACTACCACTTGGACGATCAGCACTTTGTGGATTTCAAGTTTGAGAACGTAGATTCTGTTCTTTAGGTCTAAGAAATCTCAATGAAAATCTTGGAGGTAAATCCAACAATCTTGGGTGAATTCCGGTTTGAAAACCCTAAACCAATATGCTGAGTTTTAATTCAGCACATCACAAAAGTTTTGAACTACAATTCTCCCTCTTTCCACCATTGGATGGAGGCCATTCTTCAACCAACTCCATATCACCGCACATATCCGTTCCTCACTAGAGCTGCCTGTGTCAACAAATATACCATCATTTACACTCTCAGGATCCTTCCTAGAACAAATCCCATAATCTTTAGGTGCTTGAAAACAGCCTATATGTGCTCCCAACCTCCTAAGAGAAGAGACCTAACAAATTTTCCACTTGGACTTCATGATGCACTAGCTTCACAAGAGGAAAGGCTTTTTTAATACTATGAACCTCTTCCACCCAAACAGCCTCCTCACCAAACTCCAACCCTGAAAGAATGGTAGAATCCATCTAATGGACGCCATAAAGGTTGCGGAATGGGTGGGGCGAATTTCAAAAATTTCCTACCTTCTCCCAACTGGGAATCATATTCCCTGAATTTAGAATACAATATTCAAGGATCTACTTGAACCCTAATCAA